TTTTCAGAGGACGTCGGACAGCAGCTCCTCGCCGGACTGCTCCAGGTACAGCACCCACACACCCTCCAGGCTCTCCCCTGTCGCTGCTCCCTTCTTCCATTCCTGCTCCTCCCTGTCGAGCTCTTCTTCCTCCTCCAAGCTCTCCCACCTCGTTCCCCCCTTCATTCCTCGCTCTTCCTCCTCCTCCTCCTCCTCCCCCTCTCCTCTTGCACCTGCATCTCCCTCTCCCTGCTCATTCCTCTCCCTCCCCTCCTTTCTCCTCTCTCCTCCTCTTCCTTGTCTCCCCCTGTGCCTGCTCCCCTCGCTCCTCCCTCCTCCTCTTGCATCTCCCCCTCCCTGGTCACTACTCTCCCTCCCCTCCTCTCTCCTCTGTTGTCCTCGTCGGGCGCCTGAGTGTGGACGCTGGAGTTGCAGGATCTCGGAGGATGACAACAAGATCTTCCTTCGGCGGCTGCCACCTGTCTCTCCTTCCTCCTCTCCCTCTCCCTCCTCCTCTCCCTCCTCTCCTCCCCCTTCCACCTTTCTTCCGGACAGTGGATGATTAAGTTGTCAGAGGATGGAAACAGACTCTGCCTTCGGAGGCATCCACGTGTTCCCTCTTCTTCTTCCCCCTCTTGCTCCTGCAGCCCTTCTGGTCACTCCTCCTCTGGTCCTGCCCCCCCTGTGGGTTCTCCCCTCACTGTTCCCCACAAGGAGCCTCCTGACACACCTGCAGGAGCTCCTCACTCCGCTACTGCTCCCTTCATTCCTCGCTCTTCCTCTTCCTCCACCTCCCCCTGCTCCTCTTGCACCTGCATCTTCCCCTCCCTGCTCACTCCTCTTCCTCTCCTCCTTGTCCTCCTCAGGAGCCTCGTCGAGCACCTGAGTGTGGACGCTGGAGTTGCAGGATCTCGGAGGATGACAACAAGATCGTCTTTCGGCGGCTGCCACCTGTCTCTCCTTCCTCCTCNGGAGTTATACCGATGCTAATAGTTAGCAGTTAGCCAACTGGACACTTACAAACTGTACAACAGAGCCAGTTTGACGCATGTAGATGGATGCTCTGCAGTGGTCAGGGTCAAAAGAGGAGGAATTAGGGGTGACATAGATATATAGTACCCATGATCCACAAATACTTAGGAATTTATTTGTGTGAAAAGTTCAAGTGTCGGGGAATACCTTAAGTACTTCTAGTGTCCGGAGCACCGTGAGCCTACGTTATTATGGAGAATGTGGCACCATAAGATCCTGTTTTCAAACTTTCTCATTTAAAGTCCATTTTAATATGATGTCATGCGGCTGATGTGGTTGATTAGTTTGATTGTGGTGAGAGCAGAGAAATGATTTGCTTTCACATGTGGAACTGTGTAGATGCATCGCTGCTGAATGTGAGTGTGTCTGAATCTGGACTGAGACTTTAGGATTTACTGTTTGAGGTGGAATCAGAGTAAGAAATTAAGGTTTTTCAACAGTTTATAGCTGTAACTTTCTGACAAGTTTACTGTTTTAAAGACGCTCTGTTTTGTTGAATTACAGATTATAACAGTTGTTAACTGTAAAAAGTTTTCAGTAACTGTAAATAATATCCACATCATAAACCGTAATTTGTTCTTTTACAACATTTGACACTGAAAATACACTATTTCCACTGTATTGAAATCAGCCAAAGATATCGTTAATGAGCTGTGTGTGTGCATCTCTGCTTACTGAAGTCAAACAAACTGAGGATTTCAGTTTTGCTGTTTTCATTCTGGAAACACTGAAGCTGCTCCTCTCAGTGTAAAAAGTCACTTTGCAGTTTATCTGTGATTGTGTGAAGTGAACGATGTGATGAGCAGCGAGTCAAACAGCTGCTGTGTCGACGCTGCACAAGCTGAACTGTTGCTTTGTTTGTGTTTTCAGAGGACGTCGGACAGCAGCTCCTCGCCGGACTGC